ACATTAGGAATAATACAGATGTTTGATTTCCCAAAAACAACTGCTTCTCAAGTTTCCTTACAGTAGGGAAATCTTAAAACCATCTCATTTTTCATTCTGGCGTTTCTTTTGGAACTAGCAGCTGCATTCAGGCCCACAGCCATCTCAAGGAATTTCCTTCAAGGGCTATAACTATCTCCTAGGAGAAAAACACAGCCAAACACACTTGTAATGCCAAGAACCTACTCGTTTACAAGTGCAGAAGAGGAGAACTGATCCAGGAACATGAGCTGCACTTGTACTGCCCGATTTTCACAAATGGGGCTGCTCCTTATGAGCTAGAAGGCATTGCATCATTCACCTAAATATTGTGCTTTCTAGGAAGTTGTATTGCTTTCTGAGCCAGGTGGAAAACGAAAAGGTTGTTCACAAAGGTCTGTAAAGCTCGATATGGTAGCCAATGGATGTGACTAAGGATCTCAGAAAGAGGATGAGGTGTACCAGTGTCGCCTCATTTTCTTCCACATTCTGTGTAGCTGGTACTGGGATCAGGGAGCATTGTGAAAGGCTGAGGATCGAGGTGTACTTGGCTTAAATGCAGTATGAATCATGGCTTTGAAGCAACAAAGCAACCCTATTCATGATTAAATAGGGCAAATGAAAGCATCCAAAGGAGATCCTTTTTATCTGCATGTGTATGTACAGCTGACTGACACAGTCATGCACATGACTAACCACAGGGAAATATGACTGAACTTGAGAAGCGTATGAATGCCCTGCACATGTACATACCCATGGATGCACTGGCATGCAAAAAACACCTCTTTCACATATTGTTATGGCATGCCACGTAAACATGGTGTCCGATTCTTGTCAGTGACTTTTGCTCCTCAGATTTACTCCAGCAAAACAAAAGCAAAGCTTACACGCTTTTCCCTGCCATAAGTGGCACTGTTGAAGTACTTGCAAGAATTCATCACACCAGTTTTCACTTGAAGGGATTTATTTGTGAAAATCAAGTCCTCAACCTTGTTTTAATGAAGAACTTGCAGAAAAATTCCCGTCCTTTCTAGATGGACCACCAGGTCCATGAGCTGTAAGAGTAGTATCAATTTGCCTTGATATGTCAATCCAGGTTTGAATTAATTTTTCCACAGATCCCCAGTGGAAAGCTGTCTCTCCTTTAGTTAACACAGCACTCAGCACCTTGTTCAGCAGTTAGTGCTGCAAGACACCAACACTTAAGTGGGATTTTGCTTTTCCTGGACTTCATTCCCAGCCCATGCATGGGAAATCTTCTTTTCTGCACTACAGATACCCTCTCCTGCCTCTCAGGGAGGCAACTTGATTTGCATCCCACTACACATGAGAGCACCAGTGCCATACAAATCAAGCCCACCTTCCCTTCCTCAACAAACACCCACAACAGCGTCTCAGAGAGTCAGAGAAGCACAAACCTATAAGCTTATCCTAGGGAAACCATCCTTGCTTCCTGGGATGAGCAGGGACTTTCCTTGTTGAGAATGGTATCTATATAATGTTAGCATGGTTAACAACCTTGACTTCCAAGATTTTGTGGAGTCCTACCTTTGAATATGTTTTCTTCTCCAGTAACCTGTACTTCATTTAAATGCATGCTCTCTAAAAAAATGTTTAAAAAAACCCCAGCATCCATTACCTGATATTGTCTAACCAGACTGATGTTTTCTGTTGCAAGAAACAGAGATCAGAGCTTCTGAATTTCTCTTTTGTTTACTACTCCAGTTACTACAGTGAGTTCTAATGTTATCTCACCTCCATGACCAGGGATGTTAGATGTCTTCTCCTATGGAAACAACTTGATATCCTTGATTATCTTATTATCTTTCTCTACATAGTCAGTATTTCAGAAGTAAGTTAATTTTTTCTTGAAGAGGAGAACTGAAATGCTTCAGATGCATGTTCATCACAGATTTTATTCAGTGGTTTATGCCATGCCACTACGCCGTTTGATTTTTTTCCCTCCTAATAATTTCTGGTGTTTGTCATTGAAGAGCTTCCCACTGTGCCTCCAAGATGTTTTTTCCATTTGATTACAGCCAATTTAGAGAATATCCTCATGTTCAGATGTGCCATCTGCAGTACTTTATAATTATTCACACAAAATCTAATCTTCTTTGTATCATCATTTGCCAACTTAGAAATGTGAGACCCTTCTGTATTTCTTCACAGTTAGCTGTAGGCTGGACTGCCCTCCATAACTGTTTATAACCCACAAATGTTATCAGCTCATTATCAACTCCCTTCTCCAGGAATACACTGTACAGCATTGCTCCCATTCTGATTTCCATGGGACAACTCAGAAATTTCAGTAACCATTCTCCTTCACGTCAACAGATAAATTCTTCTTTTGTTTCTTATTTTTTAACCAGTAACTGATAGGTGACTTTTTCCTCTTCTCAAATGCTAGCCTACTTTCTTTCAAAACATTTGCCCTACCTATTCACAGTATTCCCTTAATACCCAATGAACTCTTGTCTCTTGCTTTAGTTGGACTCCTGTTTCTCACTTGCTTAGGAAAAATGTTCCTATTTGTTTTGCTCATACTATGACTGTACATGTAACCCAAGATATTTTTCTTCTTTAGATTTCCCTCCTAAGTTTAAAGATTGTTTTTAAAACAGTTCCCGTTTAGCTTGTTGAACTCTTTTTCCAGGTGTAGAAGTAGAGTGACACACTTTTACAAATTGATTTAGATTCACTCTGAGTCCCCACTGCATATTTAAACACCTTGCAAGACTCCGTGACACCTTCAACTGCTTAAGCCTACAGCTGCTCCGTTTACTTCCCTTTTTTTGCTTTCTAATGTTTATTATTTTCCTCTTTCAAGCTTAAAAACAAATGTGGTAGATTTTCTGCATGGCATCTATTTGGTAAACCAAAATTCTATTCTCTTCTTTTCTTCCTGGGAAGACGAGAACATGGATCACCACATTTTCTGTTCATACTCAACACCCAAAATTTATGACAATTGCAGTGCAAAATCTTGCTACCAAAGACTTAAAAATATAATGTAAATTAAGAGTGAAGAGATCTGTATCTAATAGTGTATCAAACTGATAATGAAAGAAACAAAGACAGAGCCTTAATACACACAGACCAAATGCACTATCACAGACCTTACCCACAGAACATAACACTAGAAAATTAGCAGAGAAAAATCACCATTAGTTTTAAGAAAAAACAAATGTTGACAGTTATCCTTTACCATTTAGAAACAAAAATATGGATGTTTTCTGTAAGAAAATCAGGATAGAGAAATTAATCACACTTAAGCTATTAAGTCCCAGCTCTGCTTTTCCTGAATCATCTTAATAGAAAAAAAAAAATCACTGTGTTATATATATCCCTTCTTATTTTCTATCATATGCTATCTTCTGTGAGTAAGGAAACATCAATTTCCTCTCATCTGCATTTACATGCTAAGGTATTATAGATAAAAATATACCAAATAACTCATTTCTCGGAAAAACTTATTTTGTAAATGAAAATAACTCCTTGAAGTGTTTAACTTTAATCAAATTCTAAATGTTTGTGCCATTGACTTCAAAGGGCAGCACCTGGGCTTTTCTAGAGAGAGTAGTTTTGGAAAGAAAGGTGCGAAGTAAACACAATAAAAACAATTATCTTTTTATCTTCTTGAAACCATCCCTCCAAAGCATTTCTACAGAGTAATGCTTAATTTTGTTTAAATTTGCTTGGGTCAGAATTTAAAGTTGGAAAGCCAGAAGTTCCGCTGGGGAAAAACCATACCAGATCCTGTCTCATGGATCAAGTAATAAAGAAAAAAACCAGAAAACCTGAAGATAACTTATTTATATTTTTTCTTAGTCAGTTTTGGGAAGAGGGGTTATTTTTGAAAATGTTGCTTGGAATTAAATATATAAAACCTGCCAAGTGTTTTTAAAGTGTTTCAAGGTTGACTAGGATTTCTTAAATGTTGTTTGAATAATTCTATCCAAATTTTGTGAAGAAATTCCTGCATTCAGCTGTGAATAAACAAATTCCTGATTGTTAGTACCTCTAGCTTAGAGTAATATTTTAGCTAGTTACCTCTGTTTTTCCCACTGTAGCATTTTAGCTGGGATCCTAAATATTGCTTGGGGAACACAGTAACAGAAATGAGACCAATTTAACTCTGAAGGAAATTTTAGAGAAATTAGGGGAATTACATCAGGAAGTAATTTTGCTCAGCCTACACAGAGACACTACATGTCCTGTTCAGTAGAGTTTGTTACATTGCCACTACAGTATAACATTTTATCTGCTCTCTTCAGACTCACCTGTGTATCTAATCCAACTACTTTTGGGTCCTGCAGGAGGCCACACAGAGTTTGGGGGGCTTAGGTAGATAGAGCTTGGAAACAGGAAAGCATAAAATGCTAACTAAGGAGGATGTGTCATCAACAAGAGCATCTTCTTAGAAAATAATATTTTTACTTAAGGGAGTTGGTGGCAGGGACAGAAATATCAGGGCAGGGACAGTGGATATTTTATGGATAGACTGTGCCCTTTATAAACATTAACATTCTCTTAATTTGCCAAAAACTGCTCATGGAGGTATGAAAACGGGTAAGTCGGTCACAAGGAGTCACCCTATGAAGATGACAAAAAAGTGCAAAGATGACATAAAAAGTTGACTCTATGCCCCTTTTTTTTTCCTATTCTGTCACTTGCTTTGAAACAAGTTTTAGTTATTATTTTAACAGTGTTCTGAAAAAAAATTAAGATAAACAAGCTTCTGCCCTTGTAACAAACTGTAACAGAAATAATAGATAACCTAATCAGAGAGATTACTCTGGAGGGTTTTTACATTTTTTAATGCTGACCTTTAACACTTACTCTTGCAAAGCAGTGTTTTATACACTTTTAATTCCACCCTTCTGTAATATATATTCCAGTGTCAATTAGAGTGGATCTAGGGACCCAGAGACAAGCATCATTTTATTATGGTAATAAAGGACAAGAAGAATATGTTCTTGTGGATTTGTTCCCTTTGAAAATTTTATCTATGAAAAGAGAAAAACATTGTGTTTATAAAGACAGCAGAGGTTTAAAATATCCATTTCATATGCAAGACTGAGTTTAACTGCATGTGGACTTTCTATTTTCCCAAACGTTTAGCCACAAAATCATAAAAAACCATAGATATAGGTTATATTAGAACACACAATAGAGTATGCCTACCCTATAGATTCATTTATTTCATTTATTTTCTTCAATTTTTAAAAAGGCTGCTCCATAAAAAATAGAAGTCACATTTACTTATGAACTAATATACAGCTTAAACCCACCAGCTTTTTTTTTTTTTAATTATCAGTACTGGTACTCTAGTTTGACCATCATATTAAGCCTGCTGTTGCCTTCTCATTGCACTTCCCAGTGCTGACGTCACCTGCCTGAAGCTCATGCAAGGCAGTAAGGTGTAAGATGAAAACCACCACATGCCCCTGGCTTACCTCTCTTCGATGTCCTGAGGTGCAGCTCCTCAAGGCTGCCTCCTCCCCAGCACTGCCGAAATGCCCTCCGAGAGGTTAAGCAAGCATCAGTCCCTTACACTCGGAATCAGGGCATTCTGCTCTGCCCACACTGTGCCCCTTTCCCACCGTGGCAGGCAGCCCACAAAATGGGCTACCATTCACCAGCTGCTCACCTTGCACCCATGGGTGAGATGTGCCCTTTGGGGACTCTCGAATCCTGGACCTCTCACAGCCCACTTCATCATCACTCCTCTCTTCTACCTCATGAGCACTGAACAAGCCAAGAGTGCTCTGGCACTGGACAGGCTTCTGAGCAATAAATTACTCTGCTTTACATGGTTCAAATTTAAGCTTTTATTTGGTTTTTAAATTAAAAAAATAAATTTCGTTATTAAATAGTGGAATGGGTCTAAACTAATGTTTACATATTAATTCACTTGCTTTAGGATACCACCAGAGAAATAATTGAAGTTTACCACCCGGACAAAACTTTCTGTTAGAAAGCTCAACAGTGGTGTAATTCAGTTAAACAGGAAAAAAAGCCCCAAAAGTCTTAATGTTTACAATGAATGTTAGAAGTAAACCTCTGGTTTTAGTGTCATCCAACTCTAGTTCCCATCACAAAGGCAGTCATTTCATTCAGAATACTATACCACAGTGCTAATGTCATCGGCTTCATCTGGTTTCTTTTGCCTGCTTGGCAGGGATTTCAAGTACTCAAGGTGCCTCCTTGCATCCTCCTGGTTCTGTCGGACGTAATAAACCACGTAGGAGATCACCATGGTGAACCAGCCAAACATGGTGACCAGCATGGCGTAGTCAGTAGTCTTTTTAGGGAGGTTGCAGAGGTCGGCGTCGTTGGCAGCGTTGAGGAAGGGTCTCCCCGCGTGCTCGTCCAGCACAGAGGTCTTGCAGATGACGTTGTTGGCAGTCTCGTGGTTGGAGGCCATGCTCCGCAGCACCTGCTGCAGCGTGCAGTCACAGTGCCAGGGGTTGTTGGCAATTCTGGCCCTGGCCTTCAGGTTGTTGAAAGCGTTTTTGTGCACGCTTTTAATCCGGTTGTCGGACAAATCCAGAGTCTGCAAGGTTTCTGCCACCCCTTTAAAGGCATGTTCATCGATAAACTCAATCCCATTTTTTGATAAATTGAGGACTCTCAATTGGTGCAAGTCCTTAAAAATTTCGTTGGGGATAGATGTTATCTGATTGGAGTCCAAATAAAGTAAGACTGTTTCTGGGGGAAGATCTCTGGGTATTTCCTTGAGGTTTGCATTGCTACAGCTGACATTGAGACCTCCAGAGTGGGAACAGAGGCAGCCTTTTGGGCACATACTGGCAGAATGAAAGCACAGTATCATGAGGACAAAACTTTGTAAGAGCAGACACATGGAGAGGGAACGAGTTAACCACAGGTCTACCAAATGCATGCTGGGCTGTCAGCATAATCACACGACCATTTCTCATTCAGCCAACAGGGTGGGAAAAGGATTGGCAAAGCTGAAACGTGGCTTCATTTTCTTCGGCGGGATTAGTAAAAACTGGTTACTAGCACATGGGCTTCCTCATGGTCAATATGTTTCTTAGAAGCATGCCTACAAAGAAGAAAAAAAGGTTCTTTATACCACAAACTCCAATTCTAACTTTGTTTTCATTAAAAAATAGAAATAATAAGATGTTAAAGGGAAATGCCACACTAAAGAAATTATTTATTATCTTAGGTAACTCCTATTAGCATTAATCTGAGTTTAGTGCATAAATCCCCAGGACATTTTTAGGAGTATAGACTACACTTACTGCAAATTGCACAGGTTTGGTCTTTAATACTTATTAGGTAAGGCACTGGTTTGCTTTTATCACAGACTCTTCTAAAATAGCTATAAAACTAAATTGCATTTTCCCTTGCTGAAGTAGAAGATGCATCGATAGGAGCTAAGACTTGTATCTCCAGCAACAATGACAGGATAAGTAAGGAATTTGTGGTTGTTAATGTGAACTTATCTCAAAATAATTTATGCTATTGTAAGTCCAAATCCGAGTACTTCAGCAAGGAAATATTTTTACTGTATCAAGGAACAAAAATCAGGTAAAGTAAAGGCTGCTGCAAGACACCAAAATCACCCACCATCTCCTTGTTTGTCTCCCCCTCCTTCTCTTTTGCTTTAGAATGCTGGATTTCTTGTACCTCCCAGCATTTTGTGAGACCTACAGACATAATTTCTACTTCCAGGGTTTTTTTTTAAAATTTCTTTTCATGTAACAAAAAGAAATGGAACAATTGCCAAAAATTCCCATATCCCACCCTCCAAAACAAATAAAACTCACAAAACCTATATACAAGCCAAACATTAAAAAATCTTATTCATAGAATGTAATTTGCTAATAGGACATATGAAAATACTGTTTCTTGCTTCTCCCCCCTCAAGCTGGCTTTAAAATAGCAAATATCCAGAAGCTTTTCCATTTTCTCCTTTAACTGGAATACAAATACAGAAGTCTGAAATGCTGACCTATATGGTTTCAAAGACAATCCTTCCCCTCCACCACCACCCCTATTAAGGTAAACTATGAATTTCTAACAACAGGTCCATTTGTTTTCATGTACATGCTCTCTGTCTTTGTAGCAGCTCAGATATGTGTAGCCTTCAGGTTGCATTTACATATAAATGAATTATGTTTTTTTCTAAATCCATACTGTAGCCCACTGAACAAGAAAATCCCTGCACGAAGGATATGTGTGATTTTACATGAAAAAGAAGAAATTGCATTGCAATCACTTTTTTACTTGCAAAACTGACATACCAACTGCAGTTGCTGACACACTGCAGTAATACGGATCAGATGTGTCAAGCATAATTTCAAACCCATAGCTCAAGTTCTATTTAACCCTTTCTGCTCAGGCTCAGTATGTCAGTAACCCACAAGAAAAATAAAATAATCCAAACCAATCTTAACAGCATGTACATTACTTGTGGTTACTCCATGGCTTGGGAATGCTCACACAAACTCAGCATACTCTCACTGCAACTACTGGAGAGAGTAGTGTATTGCCATTAATCTTCAGCTTACCTATTGTTTAAATCAGTAATTGCCCAAGAACCTAAACGGAAAGCTTACACTTGGATTCCATAAAATTTTTACTCTAAAATTAAAAAGAAATATAATTATTAGAAATGAGAAATTGTGAAGTTAACCCTGGAAACGTGAAACTGCTTAGAAGGAAACTAAGCAGAGCATGAAAAGCTCCCTCTGAGGAAAGAGAGGTGAGGTAGCACTTCCCAAGTCAATGAAACCCTTCATAACCTCTATGGAACAAACAGGGTTTACATGAAAGAACCCTGTTGCAGTGGGTGCATGCATCCTTCCCATTTTTCCCTTTGGCTCTTTGGTCACTGCAGTGCCTGCTCTTCAGACCAGCCAGAAATCTGCTACTGGAGGAGGTAAGCTCCAGAAGTTGTTTTTTTCCCAGCGTGCCCAAAAGCGCTAAGTACTTGCTGAAATGCGCAGCCCATTCTGAGGCCAAGCTGGAGCTGGCAGCTGGCACTCGGAGCTGGCAATCTGCTGCTCCCTGCAACAGCCCTGGGTGTTGTGGCAGGACAGCCAGTCCCCTGGAAAAACAGCCACCTATTTTCTTTTCCCTTCATGTTCTTGTGTCTCACTACTGTGCTGCTGCACCAGAAGAGCAGATGAGTGTTCCAGCTCATCACCACAAAAGGAGCATCATCTCATCACCTACTACTTGTACACAGTGGCTTCCCACCAGTGGCACTGGAGCTCTACTGCAGCAAGAGACTGGGGGGAAAGAGCAAAGACCTGAAGTAGTCTTGGGTGCTTCATTTTATAGAAGCACAAAAATTATCCTGTTCTTATCAGAATGTGACAAGTGCATATCAAATTTGCTTCATTACAGGCTAAAAAAACCCCCAGTCAGCCTGGAAATACAGTGTATACTCTGCTGAGTTCTCCACAGCACTGTTACACCACTAAAGAGCATGTATCAAAAAGGCCCCAAGCCCCTTTGTAGAACATCCTCATCCCACTGAAGACAAATGAAACTATTTAATGTATTAATGTGTTTAGAGTGGAAGAAGTAGAGTCATTACAGACTAAACAGGATAGTGTTTAATGAAGCAGTGCCTCTTCTAAAGGCCTAACTAAGTGAATTAATATAGAGAGGAAAGAACTCGCAATGTTTTGTTAGATAGAGCAAATACAAGTTTAAACCTGCAATTAACAACCCACTCAACAAAACTTGTCTGAGTAAGAGCAAAGCTCAGCAAATTCCCAGTAAATTAACCAGAAGAAACACAATGGGACTGAGCATCAGTCAGGGTAAACAGAGCTTTGTTTGCTCCAGAATATACGATTGAAGGGATATCTGAGGTTTAGGCTTCAACAATAAACTTAGAGCAAGAACTTTCTTTACTTACAGTGACTGCAAGAAAAGAAAAGAAAACTAGGATTCACACATTTCTAATGCCAGTAAGGAAGATCTGTGGCTTCTTGAGCTATATCTAATTTCCTCTTGCCTGGAACACAATAAATTAAGAAGGTGTCAGAGCTGGAACAAACACAATAGAGATATACTAGAAGAAACAGTAATGACTACAGACAAAAGGATGAAAGACACAGAATTAAAATATGTGAATTAATTATAAATCTGCAAATATAGCAAGAAAAAAAAAAAGAAATTAAAAAGTGAATGAAGGCAAAGGGAAATGACAGCAATACCAGGAGCACTTGCAGCACTGTGGTATGAAAAGGCTTTTTGTGCACATTTCTAAAATACAAGTACAAACACAGAATACCTAATACCAAGTCAAATGTTGCAGGGGAATAATACTACAGACAAAAGACTGCACAGAAGAGTTCTTTACAGTCTTGCAATTTAAACAGTTTTCCAAAGCTTCCTCTTCTCAAGCTCCCCCAAGACCATTCACTCTGCCTACATCCAATGATGTAGGAAAATGTACAAATCCTGAAATCCTCAGGGAAAGCACATTGCTTTTAATACACAGTGAGAATTCTACTGAGCTTCAGGTGTCGGGTATTTGCAAGTATTTGTCTTTACTGCAAACAAGGTGCAGAGACTGTATTTTAGCTCCTGAATGCAACACTACTAAATTATCTAATTGAATAATGACTTCTCCCCACAAGAAACTAGTGATGTGAGGATGCATTAGTGCCTCCAACTACTGACATGGAGAAAGGCTCCACAGACTCAAGCAAGTCATACAGAAAGTCCAGGACAAGACTGCCTGCAATATTAATTTATCCTGTTTTGTCTTCAAAGAAAGATATAGGAGGATAGGAATCCTATAACCATCACACAGAAAGCCAAAAAATGAGATGCTTTGATGTTTAGGGCAATACTAAGACAACAAAAGATGCATAAAAAGACCATCCATCATAAATGTTTAGTTAAAGATGTCTGACTAGGGGAAGGGGTTTTTGCTGCAGTGTGAGACTTTCAGAGTCCACATGGCAGCTTTGGTCATGCCCCAAGTACTCACACATCCCCTGCCTCCATAAAAGAGAATGGAGCAGATACCAAATCCTTGCACTTGAGAGCCAGCCACTGCTCTCAGAGGACTCAAAAGCAGAGACTACACCAACCTTGAGTGGTATTCTGCCTACAGTATGTTGAACACACCCGCACACACAATCCCCTAAACCCTCAGGTGAAATCAGTGGAGCCACTTGTTGATGACACTCTTCCTGCAAATTTGTATCTTTCAGATGCAAGAGAAGGATTTACTCCCTATTTGTTCAGCAGATGGCCTCTCCATGCATTGTGTATCTACATTTTCAGTAGGGTCCTTCCAAAATTACTTCCTAGCGCTACAAAAATTACCTGTGACATTAAAATATCTTTGTTCAAGTTGATTCCAGTAGGACAACACTTCTACTTGGAATTTCACCTGAATTCTCAGTGTCAGGTGAACTCCAAAACATTATTTTTGAGGAAAAATCAAGACTGTTATCCTTCTCCTGACAGCTCTTCATCAAGCAAGATCTCACACATAAAGACAAAACCATGACCTAATGTATTTAGTATAAATGTTTTTATGGAAAGATTCCTGTTAAATCACAGATCAAGGGCCACAAATTGAGTCTGAAGAACAGGATCACACAGGTACATGCCAACACAAGAGCTCCCAGACTCACACACTACCCTCACTTATTTTACCTGCTTGTCAAACAGTGATGGGAAGAATAAGCAGCAGCTCTCTGCTCTCTCTTAAAAGCTGGACCCACTGATGGAAAAGATTTGCATCTATTACTCCAGCAATGTCAAAGGGGTCGCAGCTAACTACTAATGCTCAGAACTGCACACAAAGTTTGTACTTAAGGTTACTGAAGGCTCCATGATTAGAAAGGAATTTCTTGTTACTGTAGCTCAAACGACCAGGCAAGATCAGAACAGGGAAGAAGCCAATGGTTCAACCACAGGGGGTGAGCTGTTGGCTGCATCATGACTGTACTCAATCTGTCTGGTCTGTCACTTTCAACCACCAGAAAAATTGGAAAAAAATTATGTACAATCCAGCTTCCTAAGAATGTGTATCATAGGGACTGATGCACAATTCACCTG